CACCGCTAGTGCTTGCTTCCCTGGGAGGTCTGGGTCAAGGGCGCCGCCGCCGCTGCTTCCTCTGCTGGGAGGGCGGGGTCAAGCACGCCGCTGCTTGTGCCCGAGCTGTGCGTCGTCGGCGCCGCTTGCTCCGTCGGGAGGCAGGGGTCGCGCCCGAGCTGCCTGCCGCCGCTTTTTTTGGGGGGGGGGGGCTCAAAATCTCGTCCTTTTTAGCAATGCAATGCAATTTTTCTTACTCTTTACATTATGCTATGAATCTCATTGAAGGTGGGTCGACCAAGTCATACCTGATGCTCCCTGGGTTATCAACCAGGAGTTCCTCGGCAAGCACTGCATGGGCTACATCGCGCACGACGCGCTTCCGTCAGTATATACTTATTTATATGTAACAAATACCACCTATCACTTTGCATACATCCAAATCATGTACTCCCTCTGTTGCTAAATACTATAAGTCTTTCTAGAGATATCAATGCGCACTACATACGGAGCAAAATGAAGTGAATTGTGAAAAACCACCACATTAAAGCATAGGTTTGCAGGAAAGACTCTTCTACAAATTTGTGCCAAAACACTGATTTTAGTCCTAATCTTTTGCAGAAAACACTGATCAACCGTTTTATGCATTTTAACCTTGATTATGACATGTGGGGCCATGGTATTTTTGCATAGTCACCATTCGGGTAAAAGTACAAAACGCAATCAGCTCCTCGTCGCCGGCCTGCAGCAGAGGCATCGGCGCTCATGGTCCTCGTCGCCAGCCATGGCCACACCGTCCAGAGGGGGGGAAGGCCAACTCCACCGCACGACCCTAAATCTATACCCATTTTATCCGGATTTTGTCCGTATGGGGTAGAAATAGGGAGAACAAACGCCGGACAGAGGCCGCACAAACTCGCTGCACGCAACGCTACTACCCCATTTTCACCCCATACGTCGTGGTCGTGGATGCACGTGGTGGGCCAGGTACAGAAAAGGAGAGAGTGACATGTGGGGTCGAGGCGGACACAGACGGACGACAAGGACGCGAAGACGTCCGCTTTCTGTTCGCTTTGGCCCCAAACCGAGAGCAACTTTGGTCTGGAAATGGGGCGAAAGCGGACACGGGCCGGACAAAACGTCCGTATGCTCCCATGCACTGGGTCGTTTGATTTGTCCGTTTTACCCCAAACGGACACAAACGGACGATTTGGGGTAGAAATGGGTCACGCGGTGGAGTTGGCCGAAGAGGTTGGCTCGTCGCCGTTGGCCGGTGGTGCCGCATGTGGTGGGACGAGCACCAGAGGACGAGGCGGTGGCTGGTTCATGCACGCGGCAGCGCTGCTGGCTTGGAGTCGCCATGCACTTGGTACCGTCGGCCACCGCGCGCTCACCGTTGAGGTCGCTGCTTGCTGCAGCTTGCGCGCCGCCGTCGCTGCTTGTGCCGAGCTACGTGGCACCGCTAGTGCTTGCTTCCCTGGGAGGTCTGGGTCAAGGGCGCCGCCGCCGCTGCTTCCTCTGCTGGGAGGGCGGGGTCAAGCACGCCGCCGCTTGTGCCCGAGCTGTGCGTCGTCGGCGCCGCTTGCTCCGTCGGGAGGCAGGGGTCGCGCCCGAGCTGCCTGCCGCCGCTTGCTGCGCTTGCACCCGAGCTGCACGTCGGGGTCGTAGCCGGGAAGGGAGGTGGCGGCGCTGGGAGGGCGGGGGCGCGCCGGGAGGGAGATGGCGGCGCTGGGAGGCGGGGGCGCGTCGGGAGGGAGGTGGCGGCGCTGGGAGGCGGGGGCGCGCCGGAGGGAGGTGGAGGAGCAGGGAGAGGGTAGTTTTTTAGGGGAGAATTTTTTAGGGAGGGGAGAATGTTTTGGCAAAAAGACCGTTAGGCACATCAGCAAATGGTGGGCTTCATCTGTCATAATCGTCATCAAATGGGCTAAAGCCATCAACTAGTGTTTTCTGTAAAAGATTAGACCAAGAATCAGTTTTTTCGGGCACAAATTCGTAGAAGAGTCTTTTTTGCAAACCTACGCTTCAATGTGGTGGTTTTTTGCAATTCACTCAGCAAAATGAGTTAATCTACACTCTAAAACATGATTATATACATCCGTACGTGGTCTTTATTGGAATCTTTAAAAAGACGTATATTTAGGAACGGAGCTAGTAGTATGAAGCACGCTTTGACGCATGCAAGAGGAAGAATTATAGTTCCATCCATTCCATGCAGTATGTGTTTGTAACCATTTGATCAGTTTGTGTAACTAACTTCATGTGCTTTGTTCCAGGTATGCAGACACTAGGAGCTGCCAATGATGTCTACGAATTTGTTAGAATATCCAAATCTCCTCATTCTCATGACCTTATATATAAACTGGGAATGTCTGATTTGTGTGCTGTTTGTGCAGGTCAAGTCCATTGGGAGGTTCAAGGAGACCAAGCGCACGGATGGCATCTCGACATCGGACATCATCAAGAGGATCTTGAAGGACTACAACCAGTACATCATGCGGAATCTCACCTGGGGTTACTCCCGAAAAGACCTCGGTGTGAGCTATGTCAAGGTGCCTGTCCATTCCAGTCCCTCAATAACTTCTCAAAAAGACAAGGAACAAAATCAAGCACTTCCCTTTTACTGTAATAATGTGACCAGGAGAAGCAATTGAGAGTGAACATGGGCATTACCAAGCTAAAAGAGAAGGTCAAGGAGCATCAAGAGAAGGTGATCGATCCAACCTATTCCTCCGTTTCAAAATAGATGACTCAACTAAAATTAGTACAAAAGTTGAGTCATCTATTTTGGAACGGAGGGAGTACTTGACAAAGCACACCCAATCTGGGACACTAGTCTTCACGTGATTTTATGGCATTGACTTTTTGACATATGCAGTTTCACAGCGCCGCAAAGATAGCTGGGAAGCAATCCTGTGGAGTGTATGGAGAATACTGACCGTTGGATCGTCGGGTTTCTTGAGAAGTTTGAGGAAGGTTGCCACATGATGGTAATCAATCCTCGAGTAACTTATCCGCAGTTTGTCAGCACACTATTACTTTGCGATCATGAATTGTATTCGGTTTGTTCATTTGACAGGAAACTGCGATTAAAGATCGAATTCAGGAGGGGCTCAACCGCTCAAGAGGCAAGCCAAGTCGGAGTCAAACCTTTCTGGATCAGACTCAGATTCACGAAGATGTTTTGCATTCCTGTAGTGTGTAGTACAATGAGATTAGAATGCTGTTATAGCCTTGTCGGAGATCTATTTAGAGTAGGGGATTGTGTACTATTTAGAACAAAAATATTTCAGGTGATTGATTAATCTTGTTCGATACACAGTTGCTCATTTTGGACCTTACATCCTAGATGAATTGCTCGGATAAACTTGGATTTGCACGACATGTTCTTCACCTTATGAATATGTTTTGTCAACCTATGTGCTATTGCTAACAACCACCAGTTGTAATCTTCCTCTTTTTCTTTCATTTATCAAGATAGAAGGATAAAATTTTCAGGTAGTACTGGATACTAATTGAGAAGACACCATTCATTTTTATAGTTTCTTCAGATTTAGATAAGCTAGAACTAGCCTATTTTCTGAATCCATGGTAATATATATTTTTACCTGAAGATTGAAGTCGGTGCACCAGGTGCAGGAATAAAGAACTTAATTTCAAACCTGCCGATTGAGTAATCTGTTTCTTTAGAGATGTTCTTTCAGGAAACAAATCTGATATTAATATTTATAGAAAACAGTACATATTTATCAGATACAAATGAAAAACAAAAGAGGTCCTAAATGCTTTCATCTTTGACCGGAGAACCTGCATAAGCCTGAACTGTCTAACACGCTTCACCATTCGCACATCGGCAGGAGACACGCTGCAAGTTTTGGAGGCATGGGATCTGGTACCACCATTCTGTTTCGGAGATGTTGAATCAAATAGTACTTGTTATCTTGATTCACATTTCTACTATGAGATTAAATCAATTTCCACTGTATGTCTGAATATGCAAGAATTCAGCAGAGGCAGTTCACCCACATTCACCGTCAACTTTGTGTTTTACATCAGAATGCTTGCTGTTGAGGAGACAGTTGCCTTGAATGATTTCATAGTCTCATTGCTAGGCTTCACCTGTGCCCTCGAAAATACACGCATACCCTCTGCAAAATAGTAGGAGTAAATTTTAAGGATGTCACTAAGCCATGCAGGAAAGTTGTATGGTTTCAATAATTGTGTGTGTAATAGTTTGAGAAAAAACACAGCAAAAGCTGATCATTCTAGTAGTTGCACAAGATTAGGAAGTAAGGAAGCATCCAAATATAATTTTATCTTATTGTTCTTCCTTCTATCACGAAGTCACTAACATGAATGAATGCAAGTCATGCAAACTAGACTCCGATTTTGGAGCTTCGTCACAACCAAGCAAGTTCACAAGAGCAATAGTAGTAACAACCAGGCCAAAATATTTTATGGCAACAGAAGTGTTGACAGAAATGAGGAGATGAAATGTGCATCAACCTCAAGCACCCAAATGCTTATAAGAGATTCTGCCGTGAACAATACAAATCCAATTAGATAAAGTACCTGCATTGCTCCAAAACAGACAAGAATTAAGGCCCACGGCAAGTTACATCACTGAAGTTGTGTTCATAGTTAACCATAATAATGTAATGCAGACGAACGTACCCCGACAAACATATCCGTGTTTAAAACCTCGATAGCCACAAGAATTCCCCTGATTTCAGGTAAAGAAACAGTACTGAACTATTGCAGTTGGAAACTTAACAAGAAAACAGCACTGTGGTTATTAGACTTACGTAAGAGTTTTCCCCATGAATATTATCGGCGGAGCAATTGCAGCAATAACACAAAACCCAACATGCACCTGGCACATATCAAGCCGTCATTATGCTCATCTTACGTTACGGATGAAAGATGAATATCGAGAAAAATGCAATAGAATCAGATGTTTAGATTATTAGCATACGGACAGCTAAGTGCATAAAACTACCGAGTAGAAGACGAAAAACTGGGCAAATGTCACCACGCTATCAGTTCTGGCTTACAAAACAAGAGAATCCAGTTAGCAAATTTTCATTTGCACAGAGCATTGTCTGAACAATTATTTACTTCGAGCTGGTAGTTAAAAAAGAAACCTCATGGCCTGGTACAGAGGCCTGTACCATAGGATGTATGAAAGAGGACATCCAAATGCAGCATAGATGATGGCAAGGAGAAAAAGAACAATATCTGCCATAAAAAGGATAAGAAAAAGATGCACACTGAAAAAAAAATGTTCGTGAGGCAAAATATTAGCACCTTCCCCGTGAATTGATTCAACTAAGACAGCAACTACATTCCAACTGAGACATACAACAATTCCTGCAAAAAGAGCAGCCGATGAACAAGTTCATCGTGAAGACTATCAGCAATAAATCCCAAGTAATTGGAGAAAACTGTTGGAAGGTGAAGTACCTAGCCAACTAGCAAATGCTAAATATTGCAACTGGTGAGCATGGGTTGGTATTTCATTGGCTATGTCATGATGTATGACGGGGAAGAATGGTGGCCAATTTTTCACTTCGATGGTGACACCAGCTGCACAAACAGATGTGTTTTTCAAAATGCGGTCAAAACATTAAACCATGACGGAGATGTAATGGTGATCTAGTAGAACTACCTCTGTTCATTGCATTCTCCCTCTGTATGATATCCTGCAAAGAATGTGACACTTCTGAGAGAATTTTTAAGAGTCACTTTTGAGCAAATTGGTTAGCTTCACATGATAGTTTCTTTTTAAAATATTCATCTACAGAAATGAACACTATAGGATTTGTAAGTGAAAAAGGTGATCGAACCCGCTCCCTCCTCTTCAAATCCTCCTCCCATGATAAGAGCTCTTGCTCCCGCTTCTTCGGATCCTGCATGAATTGGACTTATCATCAACTGTACCAAAAAAACTATATTATCATGTTATATGGACAACGAGTCAATAGTATATATGTACATATAATGGGATGTCGATGGTGGCGTCATGCTTGCCACTGCCTCCAAAGCCCGCTGGGATCCATGATTTCTTTGCTGGAGCTGGTGCTGATAATTTCCAATTCTGAAAAACGCCGCAAATGAGCAAATGATATCATCTTGATACTTGAATAAATTCTTAGAAAGTGATATACTGAAATAACACCCTGCTTAGACTCAGGCCGCATACTGAACTAATGTACACTACTTCGGGTAAAATAAATAAATTAGTACACATAAGAAATTATCAAATCAGATACGACCAATGGAAATTCAAGATATAAGAGTTGAATGTTGCGACTAAAATTTCAACCTATCCACCAAAAGAAACCCTGAAGCCAGACCATAAGCAGAACTTGTCATCATAGATCACAGGATAAATCTTCCTCTCTTTTTTTAGAAGATAATCTTCCTAACTAGGGCATTTTGATCTAGAGCAAGTTCTTGATTTGGGGTGAGAATGTAGGATGAACTGCGCATACAATTCAGAGGCTTATATTAAAAAATCAATTGTGAGAGACAAAATACAATATCATTGGAAAAGGCACGGATTTTCTGAACCAAAGTTGATCTGGACATGAAAACTCGAATGTTTGCAATGGGAAATGTCTCATCAAAACCTGAACAAGACCAAGAAACATGGGAAGTCAGGAATACCGCGGTAGGATTGACATTCTCGTCTTCGAGCGGATAGGTGCTAGGAGACATTGAGAAGATCCCTAAGGCATGAATAAATCCCTGCGTTGTTTGCCTTTGGGATGGACCACAATCTATTCTAAGTTGTGCATGACCAATCAAAGGTTATTTCCAGTTAATGGTGGCCGTTGGCACCTTGGCACCTTGGCACCGGTCAATACTTTCCAATCTTGCCCCTAGGCCTGGCGTGCTTCACATATTTTCCTTCTTTTACCCTTCAATGTGGCAAATGCATGAATTGCAGAAGAAACTAATTCACACAGAATTCAGGAAAATCCAGCGTTCCGATTCCAGATCGGTGGTTGGTTTTGTCCTTCTAGGCAGTTTATGGCATGCACGTCACAGGCAGCAAGGGGTTAAAAAAGGCCTTTTGTTCTTCCTATATCCGCAACTAACATATGATTTCCCATAAACATTGGTCAAGACAACGCAAAGGAACATCATACGGAGAAAGGGAAATGATCTCGATGACCAGCACAAAGGAACATCATACGGAAAAAGGGAATTGATTTCAATGGCCAAATGTTCACTAAGCAGCTTCTAAAATCAATTTCATGTTCCTTCCCTCTCAACCCTTTTATCCAGAGTGCAGGGAGTTTGATACGGAAAGTGCGTTAATTCAGGAAATGCCGACAAATGTCAGCTATAGAAAATCAATTCGAAGTTAATGCAACATTATTATGTCACAAAAAGTAGGATGACAGTCAAAGACAATATTTTGCCATCAAACACACAGTACATTGGCATACATTGTGAACCCAATGAGCATGCAGCAACTCCAAATTCTGCTGTGGTAAAGGATGGTATCTTCTCTACTTAGTGATGGTGGTCTTGAACATAGCGAAGGCCGCAGTATTTGCACACAGCAGGTGCATCCAGATCAAGGCATATGTACTCAATTGGATGGCCAAGGGCAGGGTTTTTATCTGTAATCCAAATGGAAACAGTCAGCTTTGCAGAAAATGCATGATCATGAGTATATCAGCATTCGCAAGCAACAGTGTGGCCAAAGCATGATGGTGACAATGTGTAAAGGTGGGAAGTGTTTGATTGATTTACCCCCTTCACATGCGGCAATTCGCCCTTCAACCTTGATTGGTGGCACCTCATTGATAAGTTCCATTGGAGATTTCTTGCTTGTGTCCTGCAATAAATAAAATGAAAGATTTTTTTATAAATAGTGATGACACAACAAGTCAGAAAAAATCACCCAATGCAACCAATAGACCTCATATGTCAGCTAATTATGCTACTTAAGGTGTGAATATCACATGACAAACTCCTTAAAACTGCTCTATCATGGCCTGGAACTTTTCCTGACTAACTGGTAGAAGGGAGAACTAGAGATGTGACAGTTAAACATCTGTAGGTCATGAAACGAAATCAAGCAATACACATCTCTTGGGAAGAACCTATCAATGGTCTGTCATGCTTCAGCCAAAGCTAAGGACACAAACTAGAAAGATACACAAGATAACAATGTATAGAAATAGTACAACAGGATGAGCTTGCATATTATGAAATAAGCAAAAGGATCAGAAGATCTCATCAAGCAAAGGACTACAAAAGCTTAACCAGGGATAATTTCAGTCCATAAACGTTAAACCCACTGAACCTTCATTCATTTAAACTTCTTGTCGATTTCACAAGATCATCAGATATATTGATAGCTACTCACAAAATGTCGATTCACAAGATCAGAAGCACGCCGCCCTGGAGCGTCACACCGCACAGCCACCGCCACGCCTTGGCAGGACCTGCGCTTCATCACGGCGCTGTGCTGGGCACGGCTGCGGTGGCTGGATGAGGTGGTTTCCTGCGGCGGCGGCTCCTTCGACGTGGGGCAACTCTGTGCAGAGCGGCTGCTCCTCCGTGATGCAGCGTGGGTCCTGCCAAGGCGTGGCAGTGGCTGTGCGGTGCGACGCTCCACGGCGGCGTGCCTCTCGTCCGCCATGCCAGCGGTGGCAGCAAGGCGAAAGGCTCCGGCGGGCCTGGATCTGGGAGGTCCTCCACCAGATCTGGGTTTTGTCGGTCCTGTATGGCCGATGGGCCTGGGTTGGGCTCATCTGATGGGTCGATGCAGATGGCAGGGATGGCAAGTGGCAGTTTGGTGGTCTGGCCGTTCTGTGCGGGCAGAGGGTCTGGCAGCGCCGAGCAAAAGCTTAGCTTCTGGTTGTTGGCCAAGGCAGGCGTTGCCTTCTTCTTCAAGACATTGTTGAGACGCGGTGCAGGCTCTCCATCCAGACCACTCCAGGGGAAACCCTAGATCTGCTCGTGATCGGACGATAGTGGCATCAAAGCGTCATGCTGCCCCTTGGGGGCATCGTTCTTGGGGTGGTGACCGGCTGGAGGGACCAGTGGTTGCATGAGGATGGTGGGGTCGTCGCAGTGGTCGCCGCGGTGACCGGTGGAAGATGGCAGTGTTGGTGACAAGGCTTTTGTGGCAACGATGATGAGGGTGAGAGATGTCGGGGTCGTGGCAATGGCTGCGGTAGTCGGCTCTTCTCCGGCGTGTTCACGAGTTTGCCTCGGATTGTCTGTCACTCTGAAGTCAGAGCTGCGGCGGCGGGGTGCATGTGGCAACGATGATGGGTGGCAGGTGGTCTGTTCGGCGATCTTCTCTAGCACCAGCCTAGCACATTTCTCCTTCATAGCTCTCCGTCGGAATCGGAGCTGTGTTGTCCTCATCGCAGGTTGCTGGGTGATTGGCAGGATCTTCATGTGGCTTCGCACTGCCTCTATGGTGTGGCTTGGCTCGGTGGTCGTCTGCGGTGAAGTCGGAGTCGCTTCTCAAAGAGTGGGTATGATTATATCATGTGCCAGGGGAGAAGTGATGACGATGACACCTCCGTGCTACCTCGACTAGGCTTCCTTCGCAGCGGCGTGTGTGGGTTATCTTATGTGTGCTGCTCAGCGGATTGTAACGGTTTTCACCCGGTTTTCCATTAATTAACCGTGCAGTTCTCTTCTTCTTAATTAATGGATGAGGAAAATCTTTTGCCTCCGTTTCAAAAAAAAAAAACTCACAAAATGTTGGTCTCATCAACTTGCTCATGTGTTTAGCTGTAGCAGCAGATTGTTTACATGACTCTGCTACCTCATAACTGAAGGATGGGTCAACCAGAGGAATTGGTACAGTTGAACGTGCAGATTCATAGCTTTCAGTTGTAAGCATTCATAGATGCATCACCGTTCCTAACACTGTCAGCAAATTTATGACAAGGGTGGGGAGTTCCAAACTGATCACATGATTAGTATCTGAAAATGAAATGGACCAAATAGATATATCCACTCATAACATGTGCTATCAACGAGCTTACACTTATCATAGCAAGCCGAAAGATGAGAGTGATCTAAGACATCCAGATCTACCAACAAAACAGCTGAAGCCATTAGACACACACCTAGCATCAAGCAGCCCAAAAGTGTCTCAAAGGAACACAGATTGACCTAAGCTAAATGGGGAATCCAAAATTAATCATGCAACTACGCACCTAAACAAGGGACACACGCTATACCGATCGCAAAAATCGCACGCTGGACACGAAAAGGCGCGACCTTTCGCACCCGATTGGGTGGATCGTACGAGAAATGAGGTAACTTCTAGAGGCCTAGGAATCTGATCCAACCGGATCGGAATCTAGAGAGCGGAGACGAGGGGATGGGTACCTGCATCCATTTGGCGGTGTGGCTTCCAACGACGGCCGCGGCGCCGACTGCCTTCTCCGTGGCGAGGCCCCGCGCCGCGCCAGCGTGGCGGGTGCCGGTTAGGGTTCTGAGGAGCGTCGGGAGCAGCCTCCTC